GGAATAACTTACTAGTGACCAACAGTGAGGAGACAGTAGGGGCTACAGGTGGCACTGTGTCACATTTAGCATTCCTCCTTCGGAAGGACAGTGCTTGCTTTCAAAGTGGTAAGACAGGAGCACCAAACTGTTTTAGAGTAACTTCCCTAAGATAGTTAGCTGATACTATTAGAACAAAGGGAACTGAAAACACAAAGTTGGAAATAGGTTCTGCATTAACATGGGGAAAAACTTCTTTACTCTGAGGGTCACAGAGCACTGGAACAGGCTGCCCAGAGAGGTTGTGGAGTCTCCTTCTCTGGAGACTGGATGCGTTCCTGTGTGACCTACTCTAGGTGTAGTAGGCAGGGGGGTTGGACTAGATGATCTTTCGAGATCCCTTCCAACCCCTAACATTCTGTGAATAGACAGCTTTGATTTTTATTCTGAGTAGCCATGTAGTCTTTGATCAGTGATGAAAGCCATACCAGATACAACCATTCATATGAAATTCAGCAGTTGCAAACTTAAGACTCAAAGGCTTTCAAGCATACCTGTATTTTGCGGAAGATTACTTTATCCCAGAAACTGTTATTTCTAACTATACCACTTCTGAGTTCTGCTTCTTTCCTCTTGGAAGCAAAATCCAGCATCCACCTCTTTAATGAAGTATCTGCCTGTCCAAAAATCTATTAGGAAAGATGATCTGTGGTTAGAAGCCTCAGACTACCATTCCCTTTTTCTTACAGAAGCATGCATAGAGACTCTTTAACAGAAAACAAAGTAAATTAAACAACCTTTATTAGCAGGCATCTTAACTCTAGTAAGAAATACTTGTGGATTTTGATTTTGGCCTCTACCTCAGTTTAAGATACGTGCATCAAAATTAGCACTTAACTAATCCTTGCTTCCCAAACTGTGTGATGCTGTTTCAATGTATAGTTTCTTCATTAAAATGAATGAATATTCCAGTATGATCAAAATTAGAGTATAATCCTCAGCGTATGAAAAGCACACGACCATAATATGTGATGTAATGCAGGGTTTTCTGAGGAGATGCAGGTCCCTTCAGAAATATAAAATGGAGATCTGTCTTGTACATATAAAATTTCTTTTTAGATCACTTTTCAAAGGCTCCTAGTTATCCTCAAGAAGACAGAGCAAACCCAACAACAGACCACAGATTAGTATATTCACTTGGAAAACCCAGCAGCTTTTCTGCATTATGGCCTCCCTGCCACCCCAATTTCCTACTTGTTAACTTCACATGCTAGGTTGGGTGCAAGGTTGGGTGAGGTTGAAACAGTACCACAGAAGTGTGAAAGCCTCAAAGCACCAGAGTTAACAAGCAATAGGACATCATGAAAGGAGAAGAGAGTCCCCCAGCTTTGGCTCTGCTTCTCAAATTCCAGTACAGAATGCATGAGCAGAATGAGGGGCTATGTTTTAAGCACTACAGGCTGGTCTCAGGATTTCCTCCCCTCCAAATCTAACAGAGTTGCACTATTTGTTCCCGGGGCCAAGCAGAACCTTGTATTACTTGCTGTTCCTCTAGTCTCATGATTAGAACACTGTCCTGGCTAAGACAGCCTAGACAGCTCTGCCATTTCTTTAGCAGTCACATGACTTCTTGTTATATCCTTCAACTCCTCTGGCTGTATTCCAAGAAGAGTCAGTCATCCACATGGAAAAGGATGTTTAAAATCTGAAGTCCAAGAAAGAAAATCTGCTTTTGAATTCCCATCTCAGATGACCGTGAGAAGGCAATCAGCAAGCACAGGACCGACTAGGGCTGCTGACACACCCTCTCCCCAGCACTCCTGACTGGCTGGTTTATAGGTCTCCCTGCTACAACACACTGGCTGCTGCGTAGGAAACTGCCATGCAAACATAGGCAAACACCTGACCTTGGTTTGCAAATTCCACTCCATGAGTCAGATGCTAAAAGCGTGGCATGCAGCTACTAAGCCTCATGTTCATGTTGTATATGGGACTTAAATAACTTAAAGCAAAACTGTAAGGCATTAACCAAGCTAGAGAGAACCCAGTCCCCTAGTCAGACTTTTAAACACTAGTATTTGCTGCCTGAAAATGTTTTAATACAACCAGTACTACTCCCTTGGCACTTTCAGCTCTTTTAGAAAGAGATACACAAATTTGTTAACATGCCAATTTAACACCCCAGAGCACAGTTACTCCTGCCCTGGCAGCACAAACTTCATAAAGCCTTTTAAAACCCTACACAGGTCTAGACTCATGCCTGTAGACTTACCTTGTCAAACATTCTGTTCAACAGTCTTGGTACTACAGGAAATACAGTTGGCTGCAGTGTTTTTAGGTCATCCATAAGCAGTCTGATGTCCCCTTGAAAGAATCCTATCCGAGCTCCATGGCACAGAACCACACACTGTTAGAAAAAAAGTAAACACTGAAAACAGAGGATGTATAACATGTTCTAGCTGTATACGTATGACAATTCTAAGCAGAGTGGACTGTCCAGGATCCACCTTAAATCCTCTTGGCTTCTGGACTACAAGATGGGACTAGAAAGACCAAGTAGCAAGATATGCCTGGTGTACACATGTCAAGGACTTTGACAGAATAAAATACATCACAAAAGCCTCTATCCAAAAAGGGCGGTTGGCCAAATAAGGCAATGCCAGTGACTCAGAGGTAGCAAAAGACTGAAAAGCACAAGTTCTTTACTGTAAATACCAGTATTTTTAAATAGACCCTTGTTTGTTTCCCTGCTATATACTAAGCAATTCTGCACTTAAAAGTCAGCACATGCTATTTGCTGGTCCAGCAGGGATTTCGGTCTTATGCTACTTGATTTCCATTCTCTTGCACTCTGGTTTTCCTTCCTGTTTCACAGGTCTGATGTGAGCAGAGGATTTGTTGTTAGGTGATCAAGATGCTCTTTAGAAGATTCTAGCAGAGCCACAGCTTATTTCTGCATCTACACCAAGGAAGGCAGACCTAATCCTCTTGCATTCTATATTCTGAGTTTAGAAGCTCGACCCGCCACACCTAAACACACCTTTTTTTTTCTTATTCTGTTTGGGTTTCATTTGCTCTGTTTAACAACATCTCTACTCTTCTTGTGTTTATCTATACCTGTTTGGTTTTATTTCTTCTGCTTCCTCCGTAACACCTCTTCCTTCATTCCCTGCCATCCATTCTCATCTTTTCTGCACGAGACACGCTAGAGTGTTATTCTTCCCCTTCACCTGTTCTTTGCCACCATCTGCTAGAAAGCAGCAAATATATCAGTCCAGATGGACTGAGCAGCAACTGCCTTTGCTAGGTGGGAACACATTTCTCCTGCCAAGCTCACTGACCGTCTAACTCCCCTAGGAAGTCAAAAATCAGAAAACATCAACTCTACAACAGGAGTAGGACTCTGAAGACTGCTTCTCACAGCACCTATGTTCATACATACTCCAAATAATAACAAATCTTTTCTCCTTTCTACTAAAAATATTCTTGCTTATCTCTTTATGTAAATATACAAGTATCTTAGAATGGTTTGGGTTGGAAGGGACCTTAAAGAACATCTAGTTCCAGCTCCCCTGCCATGGACAGGGACACGTTCCACTAGACCAGGTTGCTCAGAGCCCGATCCAGCCTGGCCTTGAACACTGCCAGGGAGGGGGCAGCCACAGCTTCTCCAGGAAACCTGCGCCATTGTCTCACCACCATCACAGTGAAGAATTTCCTTATATCTATCTAATCTAAATCTACCCTCTTCCAGTTTAAAGCCTTGTCCTATCATTACCCTCCCTGATCAAGAATCCCTCCCCACCTTTCCTGCACACCCCCTTTAAGTACTGAAAGGCTGCTAGAAGGTCTCCCCAGAGCCAGGGGAACAAGCCTTCTCCAGGCTGAACAACCCCAACTCTCTCAGCCTGTCCTCATAGGGGAGGTGCTCCAGCCCCAATAATCTTCGTGGCCCTACTCTGGACGCCCCAACAGGTCCATGTCTTTGTGCAGGGGGCCCCAGAGCTGGCACAGCACTCCAGGTGGGGTCTCATGAGAGTGGAGCAGAGGGGGAGAATTACCTCCCTCGACCTGCTGGCCACACTTCTCTTAATGCAGCCCAGAATGCAATTGGCTTTCTGGGCTGCAAGTGCACATTGCCAGGTCATGTTAAGATGCTCATCGACCAACACCTGCTAATCACCTACTTCATAAAGACCTCAAACAGCAGGAGGAATATAGACATCCAAACGCGTTCTTATTTATCTTTTAGAACACAAGTTCCCATCCTGTTTCTACTGCATAATCAAGAGCAGAGCTGTTACCTACAGAGCTTGTACCTTCTGGTGCAAGACAGATCAGTAAAACAGAAGCTGAAGTAGAACTGGTACCAGGTTACCAGGAGAGTGCTGAAAGTCTAAGGGCACCTGTACACCTCAGTTAAGCTCCACTCCCAATATTCATAACATACATATACACACACACATATGCATATATACATTTTTATATCTGTATATAAACACACTTTCACTAGAAAGCTCAGGCTTCCTAACAAAACACAGGACAATTTCTGGCTCCATGTGCCTTTTCACACTTGCACAGAGGCAGTTTATTTCACTGCACAAACTGGGACATGACTATCTTCAACATACATATTTGCAGTCTCACCTTTGGGAGAGGTGTTAATTCACCTTCAGTAAGTACAGTAATTAAATACCCATACCTCTATTCTATCTAAGAAATTTGAGGAATTGCATCCTTTCAATAATGCATACTACCCAACTATGGGCTCAAAGGTCCTTAAGACTGCCAGTATTAAGATAACCTGAACCCCCTCATCCTCAAAAATGAAGCACTAGGTTTCGCTACATGGTAGAACAATCTATCCAAGAAAACTCAAAAGTTTGTCATTAAATAGCATGAAAAGTCATTTTCATTTCCTAGAAGGGATTTTCAGTGGAGTTCTCTTCCTTTTTATTGAAGTTTCTTAGAAACAATGGTAAGTTTAACCAACAAAATTACTTTAAGCAAGCAGGATACCACATTATAAAATAAATTTTTAAAGTTTGCAGACTAAAGAATAGCATGATTTGTTAACAATGCACTGATTATATTAGAGGAAATTTCTAGGCAGCGTACATGTGCTAAAGTATTGTATCATGTTTCAGTAAATCAGTTTCTTATTAACCCCAGCTTTAAGGTGAATGTCTATATTTCAACATGAAAACCAATTGTCTAGTACTCACTGAAAGTTGTTTATGGGATACTGTTTTCCTTCCTTTCCTTTTCATACACATGTGCAAGAGTCAAAAAGGAACAGTGTGTATCATGGGGATTCAAGAGACATGCATTCTTTAAGAAAGGCAAGCTTCTCAATAGTTCAGTACAACAAACAGATGCTTACCTCAACGATTCTCTCAAACATATGAGCCAAGGGCAGAAATGATATCAGAATGTCATCAGGGGAAGGCATAAATGTTTTCTGAAAGTGTTAGCAAAATTAAATTCTCATGGGTTCTCCATTTTGCCCAAATTAAACACAACAATGAAATCTAGCATTGAAACTCTAGAGCATGGCCCTTGCTTCAGTTTTGTTATGAAGCTGCCTTGTCTTTCATTCATTAGAAAGATTACAGCAATGACTTCTAGCATGACTAAACACACACTGCAGAAATGGTAATCTTTTAAAATTGAGTACAGTGACCAGTTTATTACAGCTTATCATTCGTATGACTATGATCAGAATTTGTTTCTATTAGAAACCACAGGAAGTTCCTTTATGTGCCTTGGGAGGAAGAAGGAACAAAAAAGGTTAAAGTAGTATGCCTTAGGGGTTTAAAAGAGACACACTTTCATCTTGGATCAGAAGTTTGCTTGTCAAATTTACCATAAGGCTTATATCGAAAGTGCCTTACATGATGTAATTGTGAGACCAGTTGCTTAATTTAAAACCAATTCTATCTGCAGAGTACTTGGCATAATGAGCACAATTGTATTTTTAATTACATGTGTATATATTAGAACTTAGAATTGTCTTCTTAGCTAGCCTGCAGATGAACTGTAGTCTACTGTAAACTAAAAGTTAACACTGTATCAAGTAAAAATACAGTCGTGCTTCTTGCTAATTTATGCAAGGGCTTTAAGTATTTTGGGGGGTTAAAATACATTATAATTTCTCCCATCCTTAGTGGAAAAGGTTAGCTTCTGCACAAACCCTCTGATAGAAAGCTTGCACTAGTGACAAACACCATAAGCCCATGGCAGAATATAATGCAGATCCACATCAGAATTCACATAACATTTTGCTTGTATGAGACCAAGTTTTAAGTTTGTCAAGTTCTTGACCCTGACAGAAGAAACCAGGAAACACTGGCTTCTGACCTAGCATGGGCAGAGTGCTGTCAAGTTACATTTTCACTTGGATCTTACTAAGAGTTAAACCAAAGTTAATGATATTTCCATGTTGGTTTTACTCCCAAGATTCTTCCCTTCATGCAAATCCACAATGTTAACCTTTGCCATTTACCTCTGTGGTTTTCACAAAAGCTGAAGCATTGCTGACTATGTTTTGATGAGTGATCATAGCTCCTTTGGGGTTTCCTAAGGAAGAAGCACATCAGGATGCAACAGTGAAATTTTTAGATCCTTTAGTCACCAAGCAGTGTTAAAACTAATCTAATAGCATTTCAATCGATCAAATCCCTACTTTGATATTAATACCTTTCTTTGTATGTCAATTAAAGAAAGGCAGAGAACTTGCTAACATGCTGTCAAGAATAGCTGGTAACAATTAAGTAGGTTTGTGCTGAAATCCTCAATTTCACAAGGAAAGGAAATCCTTAAGAAATTGCTGTGTTTCTTGGATTAGCTTCTCTCATTCAAAAAAACTCATTTCTGTGAAGATCTAGCTTTCAAATCTAGACTAATTTCCGTTCTCACATCTGCTTTAAAAATATTAACTTTTTACTCTTCCCTTTTGCTTCCTGCCAGTGGTGCGTATTTACTCTCAAACGTAAAGTGTGTGACATCTAGCCAGTCTTCCTGTTTTGGTCTTACAAATTTTGCTAATACAGTACAAAAAAAAAGACTGTGGAAGAACTGGAAGTCTGAGGACTGATGCAGAGCCCTTATTATAATGGAAATGCAGGTTCAGTACTTATTTCCAAGCCCAAAAATGTAACACCTCCACCCCCAAAACTGCAACTCTGTATTAATCAGCTGGGAAGGAAAAAAAAAATTTAAAAAAATAAATCAAAAGGGAGCCTTACCATAAAACTTCCCCAGCTACTACTTGCCAAAAAGATGCAGCAGCAGGGGAGAGTCTTGAAAAAAAAACAGTAGGAGGGCTTCTGAATTAATTTTGCACATACAGGATAATAAATTCTGCATAATGTAATGAGGTGTACCTGTCGTTCCACTGGTGAAACAGATGACTGCTAGATCTTCTGGCTTTGGAGGCTATGAGAGTTAAGAAAGTATTAGTATGGTTAAGATAGCAAGGAAAAAGATTTTTCTGGACAAAACACTGAAATACTAGTGTTACTTTTGAACTACAGGAGATAGGGAGATTTGCTAGTTTGATCTACAGAATGCTATCCAGCTTCAGATTGTCACTTGAACTAATTTCATACTTACCATAGGTTTTTGCCTGTGTGCTCTTCCCAGCTCCTACAGAAAGGAGAGAAAGGGGAGAGAAACAGTTTAAACATGAGCACGTAACTTGTTTTGCTTTAAATTTGAGGCAAACATTACCAAACACCATAATACTCCATTATTTAGACTGTCTTGTTAAAGTATTTTAACTTTTATTATAAAAGTAACAAAAGGCTTTAAAGGACATTTTAAAGATATATAGACTAACTACCATGTTCTACAAATACAAAAGTGATAACTAATCTAAAATTCACTGGTTTTTTCCCAGCTAGTAAACCAGAAGTCACTCACTAAAGAAGCTCAAGGTTAAGCAGTATAAGGACAAGCCACAGCAGGCAATCATTCCTATACCTCATGCAGAAGACATGTGCCCCTGAAAATCGTTGAACAGATGAAGCAAGACTCATCTCAGTAAGCACCTTGCACTAACATCACTGCTTGTGAGAAGGAAGACCAAGTTTCCCCATGAAGGATCATTTTTGGTTTGTACTCCTTTTATACTGAAGAGTGGAGAGCACAAGATTCTGTCCTCCAGAACCTCTTCTTCCCTGTCTCTCCTTATGATTATTTAGGCCTGGCCATTCATGATGGCATAGTTCTTTAGGCAGAAGGGAATAGATACCAAGACAATGCTTTTATCATCAAGGATATAGTGATTAAGAGGAAAGATTTGAAAGCTGATGTTCAATATTTATGAGCTTTAAAGTTCGAAATCAAGACTTATTACTGTCATGTCTATTTAAAACTCAAAACAATACTAGCTTAAGGATTTACACAAATTAAAGTGGACCTTTTGTTAAGTATAGCTCTGTAAGCACCTTATGAGGGCAGACATCAGCTTCACCATTGCCTTTACATTCGAAGTACACAATAGCACTATGCATTCCTTTACTGGCCCTAGACTTCCTTTAGTATGATGAACTTCTTAGATTACCCAAAGAGGTTTCAGAAAAAAGGAGTGTCTGGAAACATAGTTACGATTCCCATACCTGTAAGTTTGTCCTTCTGAAACAGTGCCATTATGCAAAGATTTGCCACTATGACAATGCAGCTGCCTGCTCAAAACAGCATTTGCATTTCAAGTACCACCAGAAGCTAAATACTTCCCTCCAGCCTGTTTTGAGCAAGAGCTGTTATTTACTGAATATACAGCTAAGATCTCCACACACTTCCGATCTAAAACAGAACTCCAACATCTCTTCCTATTGAAGAGACATTTATTCACAGCTACTCATCTCTAAGTAACCACAGCATACATACAAATATTAGGCATCAGAAATCAAGCATATGGCATCTGGGAGATGCACAGAGGAACTGGTCACATAACATTTAAAGCACAGCTGAGCAATAAGCTCAAGCCAGAAATCCAGAAGACAAGCACTTGAAGCTAGAAGAGGTCATTCTATTCTAATCTAAGGTCCTCAACAGTTGATAGTTGCCTTTAGTAGACACTAAAAGCCTTTAGTAGACACTAAAAGCCTTTACCCCTAAAAAAACCAGTAGTGACAAAACTTATTCCTGCTTATGGAAACATTATTAGAAATATTTAAAGCATGCCTAACTTCTGAAATTTAGACAAAAGGCTGTTGGAGCACCTAATACTGCATTAATTCAAACATCAAGTGTTGCTCAGTAACAGCTACAATGAAGTCACACTACTGAAGCATCTAAACTTCTAACTTAAGGTAACATTCACCTCCTGGTTTTGTTTTTCTGTAGCTAGAAGATCCAGTGGAAAGCATCTTCCTCTGCCAAAAACTGGAGCTCAACTCAAGGAAAGAAGCCAACTTTAATGTACTAACTTGCAGTTGGGCCAATCTTTTTCCAAGTTTAACCCAACCCTTTTGCTGGTGAGCTATACAAGTCACTCTGCATAACATTTACAGCCCCATTTCAGCCTGGCAGTCTTACTGAGGCTAGTTAGCTACGATACAGTTAATCATCTTTTAAAAGACATGCTGGCATTTTTGTGTCTTTACCAGAAGGTGGCCCTGTTAACATAGCAGTTAAGACAGCTGTGAAAACAAGTTCAAGGAAATGAAGTATTTCACACTAGTTACTGACACCTGCACAAGACAAGTATACTTATTTGGAGATACTCAAGCCCTAGTGAGCCAAGCCTTTACCAGAACTCTAGCTGGAACCAGGCTAAACCTAGTTTCATAATCTCACAGTAAAGATGTACTCCAAATAATGAGTGGAGTTATGAAATAAACTTGCATAAGAGATCTGTGCAGACAGAATAACTACAAGCAAAGCCAAGACTCAAACATTAAGTGGCTAATCAAACTGCTTTCTACTTCCAACACCTAAAAGTCTCATTCCCCCACATTACCATAAGCTTACCCTGGAACAGTTTACTGCCATTTTCCTCCTCCCCTAGAAAACATTTTGTAGATTCAGCTTACAGGGAAAGATGCCATTCTTTTTGCAAGACCAAAGCTACACAGGCTCTTTTTGAAATAAGTATTTCTGAAGTATTAGTCATGGTATATAATTATCATGTTACTGCTTCACAGGGGCAAGCCTTAACACTCCGATCTGATGTTCAGTCTGGACTATGTTAACAAGCTTTCATTCTGTCATCTTGACATACACACGTCTACATTTTCAGCACTGTGATATACGATCAGCAAGTTGTCTTCTTCCTATTTTTTTTTAATAATTTTTTGTATAAACATCTATCCAAGAGATTAAGTATTTTGAAACTAATCCACCACATTTTGTTCAGTCCTAAAAATCTGTTCAACAGACACTGTCTTCTTCCTCCACGAGTAAATGTGATGAAAGCAGTAAAGCAGGTTAAGTTGGCTTACCTCTATTTCTCTCATGCTGAAGACTTCCACCCCACACTTTTTGCCACGTTCCACAAGATCCATGCCAAAAGACTCCATGATAACAATGGTGTTGAGTATTGGAGTTTCACCCTTTTCCACACTGGTTAGCAGAAGTTTGGCCTTGTCAGGTTTGTCACAGAAAACCAATGACAAGTCAGCTGATGAAAGAGAACAACATTATCAATAAGAGAAGTTGAGTTTAGACTAGATCCATACACACTGCAGAACATGCTAATGGAAGACTTTTCTGAAGAAGGCTACAGTTCTGCCCTCAGTCTGCTCTGCCATCACACATTCAGTTGCTGAACTACTGAAAGTGTCCTACCTTTGTTCACAATGTACGTAATTGCTTCAGTTCCCAGTGTATCATAGAGTGGCACCACCACCATGGAGAACGCATAACATCCCTGTTCAATGATAACCCACTGCACAGAAAGAAGAGATGCAAGTCACTGTGTTTGTTATCGTAACAGATCTCCAAGAAAGACTCATATTTGGATTCTAACAAGGAAGCTAGTAGGACAGACCTCATTTGGACAAGTCTTTCTAAAAATCAAGTGGCAGTTTGTATCATTTGTTTACTTCAAAAACCTACTAAATTTCCACCTGTGGAAGGAGGAAAAAAAAAAGGAGCTATGGGAAAGAATCCAATCCAATAAAGTTAAACTCTGCCCTTAAGAGTAATTTTAAGTACCTTTGAAAAACATTAACTGTCCCCTTAGTTCACCTATTAACAGAAAGATATTTGAATAAGAGTACAGTATTTTTTCTTGTGTTTAGGTTATTGAGGTAGCCAGCGCCTTCAATATTCTATGTTACCATGACACATGAATCGGTGAAAGGCTTGCTCATGTCTTGACACACACTGAATTTATACACACACAGTATTCTTACCTCTACATTGTCTGCATCTCATTAGATGGCCAGACATGCAACACAGTTAAACCAGAGGTCCTTTGGAAAGCCAGGCCCAGAAAGTTTCTCAGCATTTCCCAAGACTAACCACTCTTCTTTAAAGGAATCTAATCTGAAGACTTCTATTAAAAAAATGCAATTGCATCCCTGCAAGCTGCAATAAGACAGATTTGCCTGCTAACAAGTGCAGTACTCAAAAACCATAACGGATGTTGCAGCTATATTGTGCATGATGCAAGCTGACAATACTTTACAGCAAGCCTGATTTCATCTGAAGTACTATCAAGGTAAGATAGTCAGATAGTAGCTATTTGGTATAGTTTGTAAACCACTAGCTACACTGAAATACTGATTACTGTGCCGCTCCTGAAATAGGAGCCTCCAAACATGTGAAGACGACAGTGGAACTGGAACATTTCAGTTTCTCCCACCAAAGAAGAGTGACAAAAATTCTCAGACACCATACCTTTATTCAGTTCCAGTTACAGGAACAAAACATGCATCTTTAAAAGTTACCAGATCTTACAACTCAACAAGGATTGCATTAACAAGGGTGCTTGTTCCCCTTCCCCATTCCCAAACTCTGTCACTTTCTAGTGCTTTTGCAGGACGTTGGCCAGCTACCTCACCCCTGTATGATGACAATTTTAAGCATCATTCAGCTTGTTAGTCTATGTAATATCTAATATAGAGGCTATGTTAACAGAGTTGCTAAATCTCAGGTTTACGAACTGTTTATTAGGGGCAAATTTCCTGAAGTTCTCTACTGATTGAGACAGCCTTAAAAACACAGGGAATTTTCTTGAACACATTTATGCAATAGGTAAGTTGTACACCTCTTGTCCAAAAAGATCTCTTGCAGAACTACTACAAGGCCAGCTAACAGGTAACTAGACTTTCATGCAGACAGACATACTGGTAAGCCTAAGCAGGCACACCTATACCAGTCAGGAAAGGGTCAACTGAATATTTCTTCCTAGATAGCATCCACCCGTACATGTAACAAGAGGGCAGCTGTATTGCTGTTCAGCAGCCTGAAGTTTAGTAGTTGTTTTAATAGGGTGTGGGTCTACTACAGTAGACTTCAGAAGCTGCACACAGTGATAAGAGCTGGTGTTGCCTCCAACAATTCTTGCACACCATCATTCTCACTACATCAACGAGCATCTTTACTTTCTGGACTACAAGACATTTTTCTTCCATTTTAGCTTCTAAAGCCAAGAGTATTTAAATACAAGCATCAAACCTTGACCTCAAGTTCTCTCTCAAAGCCCAAGCAAGCAACTAGTACTGAATACAGACAACAGTCTGAAAGTTTCAATTTGTTTTCTGACATGGCTCTGATCTTCTGTAAAGGAACACTGTATATTTCACTGCCCTGTTTTCTCAAGCTGAAACACAACTTGCAGAAGAGATCATCTGTTTTCCAGTTGCTCAGAGAAAGTAATATTTTTATTTATAAATCCAAGTTTGGTTTTTTAGTGAATATTTAAGCAAGTAACATACTAGGATTTTCCCCATTAGGGGATTTCCCCAGCAGTTGTTCCCTGAACTGACAAATGCGAGTCATTTCACACAAAAAAAACTTCACATAATCTCCTGTCTGCATTAGTGATTATGTTGGGGATGTCACAACACCCATCCATTGGTTTTCAGCAGGGAAAATCCCAGATTTAAAATTGCTGGTTTAAACAAGTCTTTCCAGCTCATTCCTGACCCAATTCAGAGCCTGCTGGAGCAATGCAACTCAAGCACATTTTGTCTCTGTCATCCAAGAGCAGACCACACTACAGTGCTCTCCTTCAGAGAATCCACTAACCCAGCAGTCAAACACTTTGCACCCAAAAGTCTAGAGAGAAACAGTTCAAACTGGCACAATACCAACATCTGGCTCCTTTTTACTTCCAGTTATAATGTTACAAGCACAGGACACTGAACTGAAGAGTCTGTAACACCATGTCATTTAACAGCTTCCTAGCTGGAGATATCGCAGCCTTTTTTATTACAGAAATAAAACTGCAGCTGTTAGAACCAGAATTCCAGCAGAAAAATCCAAGCAGCAAACTACTGCAGATTTAAGAGTCTGGAAAAATTGTTTTTTCTTCAGCTGTACAAGGCTAGAGTTAGGATTTTTATTTTTTTTTGTGTTGTAAGTTGAGAGAGGAGGAAGGGGGTCAAGGTCACTTGTCACACAGCTTGCATTTTAATGACACCAGGGAAGGCTTAGCAACAAACTGAAGACAGAAGAGATCCAACAGCAAGCTGTTGTCCAGCACGATTGAGACCCAGACACAACTTCTAACCCTGTCAACACTGTAGATGGCTCTAGACAATGGCATCCAGCTGAAAGTGTTTAATCAAGAGGGACAGCATATTTTTGACAAAACTTAAGGACTGGTCTCCTGTCTTAAAACAGGTTTGGTTTGAACTAGCTTAATGCAGCAAGCACAAGCTCAAGCTACCAGGCACACAAACATATGTTGGAGAAATTCAGTCCTATTCAATAGCTTTAATAAACAAGTCTAGATAATAAGTATTTACCAAATATTTAATAATATTTTTAGAAACAGCAATCTAGAACCACTTGTGGGTTAAATGGATAGACAACAGCTAATCAATCTAAATATCCCCATAGTTGTCTCAGGTTCATAACATAGTTTCGCTTCTTCAGGTGCTTATCTTTAATTATGTCACTTTTTTTAGTCTTTCTGCCCCTTTATTAAACTACAATTAATTTTCAATTTTTGCCTTCATCAGCAGTTCTCCCTCCCAGAATCTTTATCTCCCAGGACATCTGGCAGAGATAGAATTAGCCATCTTCTATTTGTCCAAATATTTAATCCCTAAGTGTTTCTTCAGGTTTTGAAGGGTTTAAACACCATGTGACTTCCAACCAATTTCAATCACCTTGTAATCCAATGTCACTTTTTAAGAGAACGCAAATGGTGATTACATTCACTAAGTATTACATCAGCTTCCCATTAAACAGGCCTCCTCTATAAACTGGGAGGAGAAGAGAATGAGTTAAATTCTCCTGGATTGGTTCTCCTCCTGCTTTCCAGCCTTCTGTATTCAGCTCTGGGAGCAAAAAACAATACAAGGCACTAACAGTTCTGTCAATTATTAGTTTGGATTCTCAGCTAAAGATGCCATATCTATGGCTTGTGGGTCTACAATGTCAGCCTTCAGCCTTTTCCCAACACCAAATGGACTCTTAGTAGGGAATCTCAGTTACACTGCCAAAGAGCAACAGATATAAGGGCGGGCCACTTCAATAACAGCTAGACCACCAATACTAGATACTGTCAGTCAAATTACCTCAGGTCTGTTTTGTGAGAAGATTCCTATATACTGAACTTGAGATGGTTTGAAGCCTCGGTGGAGTAATGCAGAGCCCACACACTCAGCTCTGTCTGAAACCTGGAAAGGCAAAAAAGAAGGAGAAGATAAAAAAAAAAAAAAAAAGAGAGCAAGCTCATCAGTATATACCCCTCAACATTATTTTACCTTGTCTTACAAAAAGGCGGCCAATAACTGATATGAAGTAGACAGAAGTTTTCTAGGCTATTTTGGATGTCCTCTGTGACTTTGATAGCCTAAACACTGCAGTGCCATTACATCACACTGATCGTAGATACTGAACTCGCACCCAATATGCGGCAAAAGCAACACTTAATCCAGTTGGACTGGAAAGTGTTAAGTGTAAGTTTATATGTTAAGCTCATTTGTTGAAGAGGCCATTTGTTGTATCTGTATTGAACCCCAGAAGTGACCTGGAACGATTCAGCATTATATTCCTGCTCAGTCACAAGCAGGATGTATGCCACCCTTCTCCTTTATTTGGTGCCTATAGGAATAGCATTTCTCCCTTCAAAAAGCAAGGGAATAAATAGGCAAACCCTAGCTAGTTCCACAAAGTTTGGGAAGCAGTTTTCTAAATTCTTTCCATATAGCACGTGACCTGAATCCATGTTAGTCACATGACTCAAACAGCAAAGCTTTATTAAAGAGAGGTTGCACCTAACAAGCGCCCAGCAAAATCACCTTGGGAAAAGCGGTCTGCTACACACAAAATGTGTTTAATGACCTCAACAGCATGCAATAGGGAACGTTTATGCAAATTTGAAGACAATAACTGATTAAATCAGGAATGACCTAAAAGTGCACAGCTGTTAAAGATTTGCATAAAGATATTTTTAGCAATCATGAAGGTGCAGACTACTGGTTCGAAGCATATCTGTTAACACTCTATACAACTATCATTCAGCACTATGGAGACAAGTTGTCAAAACGCACAAGTAACATCCGTAGCCTGGACTTTTCTTAGTCTAAAATGAGCCTCTCTGAAGCAAGCACCTAAAGTAGTAGCAGTCCAAGTCCCTGAATAGTACATCAAAGCCCTTCAAAGGCTATGTCCAAGTTCCAAGCAATTCAGCAATGAAATACTAAAAGCTGCCAGGATAATCCCAAGAAAATTCCAAACTAAAACTGTTAATAAACCAAGTAAGTGCAGGAGGTACTCTTTCCTCCCTTGCACATATTTGAGGCTGTTCCTTTAAGATATTCTAATAGGAACTAGAACCTTTCTGCAATATTCTGCTGCTACTATAAGACATCTATAAGTAACTGAGATTCATTATATCATATTACTGGATGTTGTATCAGTGGTCTCAGCAAGCAAAAGTAGGTCTAGCACTAAGCTGGAGAGACTACTTACCTCTTTATAAGAGATCCACTCATACGGCTGGTTTGGTTTTCTAACACCTAGACATGGACCATTATCTAAAAAAAGATAATCAAAAGTTACTCAAAACTTAACCCCAGACTCCTCTGTCCTGACACCACACTAACTACACTTTTGGTGTTAAGCCTCCGGATTCTTTGCAGACACCCTCAGAAGACAAACTTTAAGAGGGGGAGCAGGGAGGGAAGCTGGGGAAAGACACACAAGCAATAAGGTTGGTTTAGGCTAAGTAACACAGCACTGACTTTATTCATACAATTCTGCTTCACAAGAGGTCACAGCTAAACTTGCCTTCAAGAAAGCTCACATCATATCATACTGCTACATAGACATCCCCTATGCCCAACTGCATTTCAGAAGAGCCCAGACATTTAGTTCTTGACATTGTTGAAAAAATTCTTTAATTTTAGACTTACTTGATACTTGCATACCCCTTTGGAAGATATCATAAACTGTTCTCACATCATCATAGTAGTAAATCAACAGTTCATCGCTGTTAAGAAGAGAGGACCTTCGAGCATGCTCACCACCCTAAGAAAACCAATTAGAAGGGTTAGACACACTTCTTGGTTATAAATGAACAGGAATTTCCTGAAGGAATAAAAACATCTCATCCATTAAGTTTTGATGTGAGACTTGGCAAATTCTGCTTCAGGGAACTTCAGTTCTTTTCACCACCAGGGGAGAGATCTGCAAGGTTTCCCAGGACACTGTTTAAAGAGTCAGACTGCTCCCTGCATTACTAAAAACCTGTCAGGCAAAAATCTTATTCCTCAGCCACCTACGATAGCACAGAACAAATGAGAATGTCAAAGTGCCCTCTGACACTCCTTACTAGACAGGGTTTTTCTTAAGAAACATTTTACTCTATTAGTACAATATACAGCATAATTAATTCCATTAAGCTTTCTAAATCACTCCAGCCTCAGAGCTCACTAGATACAATATTAATGCTGAGATCCTAATCTACTTTTCTAATTAAGATTACAAAACACAATCACAGTTCAAACTGTGGTTTCAAAACCTAAATGATTTTAAGCGTGGTCAACAACACCCTAAACAAGTGTTCTTATAGGTAAAATACTCTGTACCAGATAAAAGTTTCATCCTTTAATCCAATTTGAAGTTCCATCTTACATAAAAAATTTCCTCCTGATCTAATTAGAGGCAGTCAACACACTACTACTTGGACTATATTAAAATCAGTATTTTTCAGGAGGTGATCATTTACATAGGCTACAATTGGAAGAATTATTTAGTAGTTCATTGTTTAAATATAGGGGGGTTTTAGCATGATCGATTAAATAATCTCATTTTATATCAATCAAGTTTCACAAATTGCAGTTATACAGGTACTACTGGGCCACATTTATTAGTCCTGCTATGATGACAGACACCTACAAGCAAGTTCTTAGCAGGAAGAGCTTAGCTGATTAAACAGAGGGTCTTGGGTAAACACTGCATAAGATTCTCTATCAGTGGCTGTAGTCAACTCCTGGCTCTTCTATAAAGTCAAATCCTGGACTAACTCTGTGCCTGAATTGTGCCATCATCCACAATGTCAAAAAAAACTATTCATATGCAATCATAGGCTCTTCCCAGCCATTGGTTTATTTTCCTGTTTTCAAAGTACCCTGGAAGATCAGAGAACATTTGTTCATATATGTTAGATAAACACAAGTTTATCTGCAGAAGGTGTCATATTGCCCATGCACTCAGAAAGGAGCTAGCACGTTAAAGGCAATCAGAGGAAAATATATTTTAACACTAGAACAAGTCTAACCTGTTTTAGCAAAACGCTATGCGTAATGCAGTGCTTGCCACTCCTTTGACAGTAAGCAGAAACTTACACTGTGAACATGACCCAGAATATGTTAATGAGTGGCTTACCTCTAAAAGTTTGTAACATTAGAAATCCAAAAGCTACTTGCTTGCACTCAGACCAACATCTACTTTATAAGAAACAGGCAGATCCCTAGCACATGTCTCTGCCTGGGAAGAAAAGTAAGCCTGCTTGCTTTATTGGCACTGGTTCACAGATCTCAGATAACCAAGATCAGCTTCTAGATTTTCCCAGTTTTGCCACCTCTGGAGCTAACCTAAGGAAGATCACACAATGTAGTTTATAGCCACAATCATGGGTAACATCAACAAGTGCAGTGTATCAGCACCATGTTTGACGTGCTACAATTCCTGCATCAGGTGAAATAAAATATCCTAAGCCATTCCTTGGCAACAGCCAAGAAGTATTTGTTTTCTCCTTATCTGAGCTACTACCGTTTTGTTTACACACCCTATTACTCAGCACCACAACAGCAGTTTTTGCAGGGCCTGAGGGACTAACCAAATTGGAGGATGAGACTTATCAGACAGACAGCACACTGCTTAGACAGAAGACTGACTGCACTGTCCTTCTGAAAAAACAGAAACTCTGTAACAGACTACTATCGAAAACACCTCCTCAGTTCTCATATTTTCAGTAAAGGAAAACATAACCAATTTATGGTTCTGCTTACTTTATTCTTCCCCCCCTCAAAAGTAAAGTGAAATTAACAGAGTTTAACAGCCCTAGAATAAGACTTTTGCTGAAAAACACCCAGCTCTGTGTGAAGACCATCAGGAGTTCGATGTTATTTTTCAGAGATAGAGTGGAATACATCTGGACATGCTGAAGATCATTTAGATCTTACCTTACGCTCCCAGTTTGAACTCATCTACTAGGAAATATTATGGTATTCATTTACATTTTGCTTGAGTAGCAAGAACTACTATTTTAAGAGCCTGTCCAAAGAGTCTTTGTCCAGGATATTCATGTAATATCAGGGAAAGTTCTGCTTGCAGCAAACTTTTCTAAAAATCACTGGTCATTACAACCACCAAACATCTGAATCTCAGGACTGGACTGTCTAGCTGATTTCACACTAGTTATTTGAATGGAATCTAACAGATCTGTCCAGTACAAAGGTAAGCACACAAAAGGGTTGTCAGTTTTACCATAGCGTTCTTAAGCAGCCAGGCAATAAAGTCTAATTAATGTGAGAACAGCCTCTGGTTACTCATGTAAGGCAGACCTTGCAGCAGCTCAGGGAGTTGCAGGAAATTGACCCATTACACAGCAAGTACTGGACATTAAGTAAAACCTTGGCATTCGTTCAGAATAGCAGCAGCTGAAGGAAACAAACTTACTCTACAACAGAGGCACATATTACTCTATCAATGCCTATTTGGGTCACATAAAAGATAGCTGCTTTTGTTCAAGCCATGGGTTTGCTTCTTGTTGACACAGGCTGCTTAGGATTAGCAGTAATGTCAAAACACACTGTTGGCTCCACTATGCCTGAGGCAAGAGACCCAATTTCCATTTTCCTGAGAGGGAAAGTATACTAGCAAGCGGTGCTTAGGTCACCGTCATGCATATTCTGAGCAGCAAGAAGTATAAACTAGAGTTTGCAAACCAGCCATCTAATTTTAAGCATGCTAATCACTAGGTGAGCACACAACAGCTAAAATTCATCACTTAATAGGGAAACAAGCACACGTCTAATCAAGTGATTCTTGAAAGATAAGGCAAGCTAGAATTCTGGTAATGTATCAGAAGAATGTAAGTAGGTTTAAAAGTTTTCATGAGCTGAATATCTTTCTCCATATTTGAATATCTTTATAAACAAACACATCCTGGTGTTTATTTATATCCTATCCTTATACATGCTCTAGCAGAACTTGAGCCAAACAACAGTATTTGGGGTTTTAAAGCAAGATTTAATATATTTGAAAGCCATATACCTGCACTCAAATCAATAGCCAAAGTTATTCAGCTATCAGTCACCAATGGAAAGAGCAACCTACAAGCAGACAGACCCAGATGTGCCTACCACTACAGACATTCAGGGTGCACAGGCTTTGCAAAACGCAGGACAAATGTCCTATTTCTACCACATAGCACTGAAATTCTCAACAATATCTTATGCATGATGGAGTATAGCATGAGTCTCAGCAATGCAGTCTCACACTAGTCAGACTTTATATTTAGAGTTACTCTTCATTAATCTTGTCTCCTCTCCTACAGACAAGTGATTCAAGTGGATCCTGAAACTTTTTCACCTATACCTCTGAGAAGATTCCCTGAATTGAGATCAGGTTGGGAGCTTTGAAGACAAGAGGGGTTTGTTTGGGTTTTTTTCCCCAGTGAAATGTAACTGTAGTATGCATAATTTAAAGATCAAACTCCACATCTTTTCATTGTGGGATCTACTCTAGAAGAGCTGATACTTTCAGTAACTTTTTGTACCAATACTCAACTAAGTGTGCAATCTTTATGCTCACTCAGTGATGGTTAAAATGGGTCACTAGGTGCTGGCCTACCAAATCAAAGCTTTACAGAGATGGGAAGTGACCTGGAACAACAACAAACAGGATCTTTTTCTTCCCATATAAAGTTACAAAGACTTACCAGAACATGTAGAAACCCTACTCCAGTCACTGACTTCATTTAACTTTGTTAAAGGCCAAGGAAATAAGTCACAAGTAAAAATTAAGGAGACGCTTGTTTATAGTTCAGAGTTGTTATTATTAATGAATAGGTAGATTAGATACTAAAACAGCAGAGAAGAAGAATTGCCTCCTGCCATGTGTTTTTTTAGAGCACATTGCTTACTCCCTAGACCTTTTAATATTGTATTGCTTAGCCAGAAAAAAATATGTTAAGACATAATTTGAAAGCAGTATTAGATATTTTTCTTCTGTGGAAGTGACAATCCATCTTAACACACATGTGAGAGAATGGAGGAAGTGAAGTGAAACTATGCAAAATCTAGTGAGAAACCGCACCCACAAGTATTACACTCTTGTTACTGTTATAAAAATACCAACTCTAACAGACACTTGAAACTCATTTCAAAACATACATTCTCAATTGATTACAGTTTGAAACAGTTTACAACATTACATTAAGGGCTGTATCTGAACTATCAATAAACAAGACTGGATAGATCTTGCTCATTTCAACATGTTCCCAAAGTTTGAGCTCTTATCACCAAGACATTCTAACACTCAGCTGTTTTCATGTAAGTTTTAATACTGTTCAGTCTTCCTATTAAAATGTACTTTCTGAAGACTCAATGAAAAGTAGTGCCATTATACCTATCTTGTTCTGATCAAAGAGCTGATGTTAATTAGTACAATATGGATCAATAATGCATCAAGTAGTTTAGTAAAGTCTCATACTACCAAACAATTATTTCAATCACAGAATCCAGTTTAGCTTGCAGAGGCAAAGGCAGTGAACTGAGACTGCTGTCACAAGTCTTAAGCAATAACTGCTTGTCACTGGTTTTATGGCTAGTTAAGAGCAACTGTTTTACCATCATCCAAAGCAAAGCCCCCCAAATCTGCTGAAGTCTATACTGACTAGTGAGGCCCTCCACAGATGGAAAGCTTTCGCTGCCACCAAAACACACTGCTCTACAAGACTACTCCACCCACTGAGTAGCTGCTGTCAGGATTAGGAAAGCTCACCAAGAGAACCAAGATCTAACCTCTGGATCCTTACTCGACACATGTTCCTTAAAAAGAGGTATTTTTGGCAATTCCCACATTGCCACAGTATATTTTTGTTTCCCTTTATGTACTTCTAATAGCAGACCATTACTTGCTATAACATAACATGTCAGTAAGCTTACTGTATACCATACTGGGAAAAAGATTAGGAAATAAATGGTACTAGCTAAACTTTTGAATGGAGGTGCCAACTAATGCTTCATTCGTCAATCTCAGCATCATGAAACACTGAAAAAAAAAAGTGCCTGGTTTGAGGCCATCACAGTAGTTTGCTTTGCTAAAGTTCATGAAAGTTTACTTACTGTAAATTTCAAACTGCTCTGCCACATTTGTTTACATCAGTTTGTAGTCACATCTACTCTTAAGTATAAGAAGTCATGTTAATTGCATTTGATAGGGGACAATTAGATGCAGCCTATCCACACAGAAGACCATGGTGTAAAGGGAGACTTCAGATGCAAGTATATATATATATATAAAAATCTATAGTGGTATTTTCCAACTATTAAGAGCAATGCAAGAAACTGTTAGCCTTACAATCTTACATTTTGGAAGTATCTCCCTTGAAGATCACAACCTTTCAAAGCTGTCTCCCTCCTTCAAAAGGAGAAAACACCTTGTCCACCCTGAAGAACAACAAAAGGCACTCTTGAAAGAATTAAATAAGTGGCAAAATCTTGACTCTGTAGTGAACAGGAGAACTGATACAACTGCTGCTCAGGAAACCCCAGCCATGTAGTCAGTTGCCTTTATTTGCCTCCAAGCAACAGTTCCTCTCAGTCAGACTGTTTCCATATTTGACTTCACTATTAAAAAACACCACCTAACATTAACTCTGACTGCCTCTAAAAAGCACAAGAGAAAAGCTAAGCTAGGATATCCAGAGCTTATAGCAGGTGGTTGCTTTAATTTCAACTTACTCTATGGCTGGGATCTCTTGGCAGGACTAATATATTTTTCCACAGATCATCTGAGGACCATCAGTACCCTCTTCATGCTTGTAACCTGATACAAAGTCTCATCTGTCAGCTATTATGGACTAAATATTGTAACAGAAGAGTATAGCCTAATCAGTATACACCAGCATACATACTCTGACCTCAAGACCCAATTTAATAGGTCATCATTAAACACACGGCCAGGACTTTAAAACTACACTGCGTCAATTCTAACACGTGCAAGTTTCCTGCCACCAGTCACATCAGAAGCTCAGTTTTCTCAGCACGACGTCTTTTTCTCCCATGCTAGTTACAATCACTATGACCTCAACCCTCAAACTGGTTTTCAAATTCAGAACACCAAAAAACTGAGTTCAAACCATATTTCAGAAAACACACACAAACAAGCATGCCCTGAAATGTATATCCCCCCCAGTTTAGAAACACTTATGTAAATCAGTGTTTAGTCCCTCTCAATGCTGCCTTTAGGCTTCAAAATTCAGTGAATGACAGCATCCATCAGATGACACTTACCTCTACTTCCACAGACTGCATTGCTAAATCACATGGCGGTTTTAGAGCTTTCGGTCTTGTTGCATACCAGTAGGTCGTGAGAGCTGCGAAAGCACCAAAGCCCATCAGCGTATTTGTCGGAAGGGTGCGCACGTACTGTCTGACATCCCCAAGTTCTGGCATTCGTAGGTGTCTAAACAACTCATGTGCTTGCATCGCAGTTCAGCGCAGTTGTCCCGATGCTGGAATCTGTTGATATCAAAGAAAGTTACACACAAAGATTTGAAGTCCTCTTTCGACTTACTGTTGTTGTGGGAGGGCGACATATGCTTTGTCCTACTGGCTTCCCACTACCAAAATAATTTTATCTGCCACTAGGTAGGCAATACCTTGAGACATCTGTGCTGCAATTAAGCAAGCAAGCAATTACTGGTTCATACATACTCCAGAAAAACCCCAGCCCTAGCTGGGGCTGACAGGGGGCAACTTCTTCAGGATTTTAATATTGCTTTTAACAGACACTGCGTTGTAACAAAACTTTTGCCTTTTTTTGGACGGCATTTCACAAATGCAAAATAGTTATTTGCAAAGTAGCTGTACTGTAAGATTGTTTGAAGACTAAGTATCAAACAGGGAAGTCTGGGAGAGGAAGGGCAGGGTTGTAAGATGTTAACTTGTCTGCATTAACGTAACAGAGCATCCTAATCTTATAGTGGCATAGCAGAAGAAGGATTTTTCATCTCCTAAATCCAGTAAAATAAACTCTCTCATTTCTACTCTCCCTTCAATCACGCAGAAAGCTCACTACAGCAAGCTGCCTTCAAAGCCAATATCCTCCCATAGCTCCTCTACACTAGCAAGCTTCCCATTTGTCCCAGCACCACGCCAGCAATTTATCTCTGGTCATGAGGCAGCCTAAAACGGCATCTAAGGAGGCCCAAGGCAGCAGCACACAGCCATGTAATCAAGCACAGGAAGCACATTTGATTTGTCACGTTCACACAGAAGAAAGAGCCGAAGGAGGCTGCTCCCCGCCGGCGCTCGCTGACAGGGCTATTCCACTGCCAGAACCAGCCGCGGAATAAAAAAGGGACTGCAGTCAGCTCAGCTGGTGCTCCCCTCCACAGTCAAGGTCTCCCGGGACGTTAGTCACATGCCGAACCCACCGGCTCCTGCCCCTTAGGTGAGAGGTAAGCAGCAGGCAGCCGG